GATATTCCTGTAATGAAAAGCATCGGGCAACGAACGATACTAGAATAACCATTGACGACGCTAATGCACGCTATCAATAATCGATAACTTGATAACAGGGAATAAACGATAAGGGAGGGGGGAGGGGGGAAATGAAGAAGGGGGAGATGAATAAATCCGTGCATCCGTGCGGTATCGGATATTCTTTTTCCAAAAATTATTTTCCTCCCTCGATATATTCAATTTGAGATGTAATATCTTTTTAATAAAGGAAGGATTTTTATCCTTATCCTACTATATATATTCCTTCCAGCAGCAGATTTACATCTCCCCTCTTCTTTTTTCGATCGAACGTCGAAGATATCGAAGATATCGAATATATATATATCTTTTCGTTTAAAGAAAAAAATCTTAAAACAAAAATCGAAATTTTTCACTGTCTCAGAAACAGAAGAAGATTGAATCTACGGATGTATTCGTAGTGACGAAGTATAGTGTAACGAATTCCACGCGAATATTCCACAATTTTCAATTTTCATATCGCAGTAACGGTTTGCGCGCTCTCTCTTTCTCTTTCTCTCTCTCGAGGAATCAAAGGTAAGAACTAGACAGAGAGAACGAGTAAGCGAATGAGTGAGAGAGAAAAAGCGAGCAAGCGAACGAGCAAAAGAGAGAGAGCGAGCGAGCAAACAAGCGAGAAAGAAAGAGCGAGCAAACGAACGAGAAAGAAAGAGCGAGCAAACGAGCGAGAAAGAAAGAGCGAGCGAGTGAACGAGAGAGAGAGAGAGAGAGAGAGAGAGAGAGAGAGAGAGAGAGACTAGTTCTTCTAATTCTCAAGGGTGCATCTAACGAGTACGTATTCAGCTATATAATTTCACGATGTCAAGGAATAAAGAAGACAAGGTCGTTCGAATCGATGGATGCGAAAATGTAAAGGGCCTTTTTGAAACCTTTCGTTGTTTTCGAAGCGAAGCATCGAAACGATCGATAAATTTTCCGCGGTTCTCGTTTGCGGCAAGGTTCGTCGAACCACGGTGACCGGATAGGATCAATCCGGTCCGACTCTGATCAATTACTACAGACTCGTATACGTTCCAGTTGAGAGAGAATTCAATGTATTTAGCATAACCACAGAATTTCGAACGATAGAAGGTAACTGAAGAAAATTTTTTTTTTTCCCCCGATTTTGAGGTTATACGGAGTTTTATTTAATTTTTTAGAAAACGATACTCTGCTTTTTATTGTATGATTTATAGTCTCTTTAAAAATGTGCATATAAAAATATAACTAAATCTATGTATATATATATATATATATATATATGAAAAGATTAACGTTGCATTTAATTAATATAGAATAAAAAAAAGAAAATACATAGTAATCGATATATAAAAGATATATAGAAAAATAAAAGATACAATATAATTTGGAATAAAATAGAAAAAAAATCAATAAATACACAAAGTAATTATTTACCTTTAAGTTTAATTTACAAAAAAAAGAAATAAAAAACTTATAGATAATTTATAATGATTTAAGTTAAAATAGATGTTTGAAATTGAAGTTTAAATATGCTTCTTAAAAAATTTACAGAATTCACAACTGTTGAATTAATTCTATATACGTGTATTTTTTTAAATTTGTTAAAAAGAGGATTTAAAATTTCAACGTATAAGAAACAATTATTTTTTTATAAATTTGAAAATGAATTTTTTCTAGTTAATATATATTATTCGAATTACTGTGCGCCGCCAATAATTTTGATCATCCATCTTGTAGTGATCGTGAAAAGATTCGTTATAAGTTATATCATCTAGAGTTTCAAGTCGAGGGGTAGGGAATGTTCTCTGGACGAATGTCTCTGGATTTATAACATTGATGGAATGATACATGGTCGCGACACATTCGTTTCCAAGTTATTCATCGTGAAAGTTCGATGTATTCGTGTACAAATTTCGTTACGACGTTGACGTTTCGCTCGAAGGTAGTTTATTATTTTTTCCCCGTCCATCATAGAGCGCGTACATTTACCGTCTTTTCGAAAAGGAGGGAATTTTTAAAATAAATAAATAAAATTTTTAAAATAAAATTTAAAATAAATTTTATGAATGAAAATTTATGAAACGTGCATTTAACGTTCGTTCAAACGAAAAGATGGATTACTCGATATCGTAATATACAAATGAATTTCAACCGCATTGGTATACTAACTACACGAAGATTTACTTCTGTATAATTTCGCTTCTCGTATTCTCGAGTCGAATCGATATTTTTTGGGAATTTTTTCCCTAAAAAAAAAAGGGTTAAAGGCGGATCCATTTCTCGCGCGCTCAAAAAAACTCTATCCGCTTTAATTGCATTTCAATTCCTGTCAACGAAATGAAATCACACCGAAAAGAAGAAGAGACCGACCTCTAATATCATTGACCTTAACTATATACTTCTGAATGTTTCGCAGATTATATATTTTACAAATTTGGTCAACATTCCTCGCGTTGAATTTTCTTTCTAATCCTCTCATTAAGAGAGAATCGACGCGAAAGATATGTGACTCGCACTCGTGCAAGATACGACGCGTGCAAAGTTCGCTCATGCGCCGTTTGGCGCAGCTGGATCCTACTATACAGGCGTGACTTATTGCGCGCTACATTAGGCTTATTGGCCAGTCATCGTTTCCCTTGGATAGAATTAGGCCAAAAAGTAAAAAGTAACTAGTTAAAAATTTTAAATAAAACTACTTCAAGTAATTACTTATTAAAATGCTTGGAATAATATTTATTCGTTATAAGTATTATAGTCGATTCACTTCTCGTATGCCGTTACAATTATTCGTAAATGTTATTACGTTTTGAAATGTTATTACAATTTTGCCCATCACTGTCCCTGGAATATATAATTTTCCCTCTTATATGCCCTCCTCCCCTCCTCCAGAAATAGCTGTCTCTTTTGATCTCGAGAATAAGGGGGATTTTATGCGATTTTTTTATGACCTCGTGTCTTCCTTCTTTGTGTGTCAACCACGCTCTCGTGTACAACTATCTACTTCGGTTTTACTTACCAATAGCGAGGCATGGAAAGAAGTCGAACAATCACGTATTCGTATTCCATTCGAGGATACTCGTGGAAAATAGATTTGAAAGTAAAGACGAGTATTTTGCTTCTGTTCATCTTCCTCCTCCCCCGATATTTATCACGTGACAATCCATTTATTTTGCGTGGGTAAACGCCGATACGAAAGAAATCGCGCGCCATAACCGTTCTTTGGAAATATTGGGGCAAATACAAGAGTGTCTTAAACAGTCGCATACGCTTCTTCCGTTCGAAAACGTAAAGTATTACGTAATACGAGATATACGATTCGAATCTTGTCTCCTCCCTTCCCCTTGGAATTTCTCAAGCGTCAGTAGTTTCGTTCATTAGTTTTTTTCTTTTTTCGCATCGCACAGCTGTTTCGAATAATAGGAGCTAACTAGATATAATTATTTTTTTTTTCGATTTTGAACTTATTTAATTTTTAGAAAACGATATTGCTTTTTATTATATAATTTATTATTTCGTTAAAAATGTTTATATAACATAAAAATATGACTAAGTGTATATAAAAGAATATATAAAAAGAAAATACATAATAATAAGATATATAAAAAATATATAAATATACAAATATTTGTGATTTGAATTCTTGAATAAAAACGCGCGAAAAAATTGTAGCAATTAACTTGGAAAGCGTTTCGAATTTGATAACGTACGATAAACTGGACCTTGAGAAATGGAATGATATTCTAAAAAAATAGATATTAAAGAAAAAATTAAAAAAAGAAATTATGGCTATTTGCTATATTCTCGACAATCCTTTCCTATAAATTATCCGATAGATATAGGCCTAAACAGTGATAATTTAACGAAACAACGATAAAAACGATGAAATTGAAAATTATAAAATTGAAAAGAACATTGTAAGAACATCGCGTGAATTTCTAATATTTAAAGTAATTACTTGAATTTTAAGTTTAATTTACAAAAAAAAAAAAAAAAGAAACAAAAAAACTTATCGATAATTTATAATGATTTTAAATTAAAACAGATGTTTCGAGATATTATATCCGTTACAAAATTGAAATTTTAAATGCTTCTCAACTTATTGAAATGCGACTGATCAGTTATCCGTATTAGTTCTCTTTGCCTATATATATCTATTTTGTTTAATCCGTTACATCGAAATAATTATTTTTTACATTATTTAAAAATGAATTTTTGTCCAATTAATACACACTTGTGTTCGAATCGTTGTGGCGTCGTATCGGTTACGATCTCTCTCCCTCTCCCGTCCTCCCCCCCGTTTTCTTTTCCTCATTTCTTGCGACTCTCTTTCCTTCTTTCTTTCTCGAGGAAAAATTCGTCGATACGAATGACGCGTGCCGATTAAAAATCGCTTCCTCGCGACGACGACCTTACCTCTCCCTCTCCTCTCCCCTTCCCCCCCTTTCCCCTTGTTTTTTGTCCTTCACCTCATTCCCGTCGTTCTTTAATCCACATCATCCATTCCTACCGTCTCGTTACTTCCTCTTCCCATCCTTGTCCTTCCCGTATCCCTCAAAGCATCCGGCTTTGATCTCTCTCTCTCTCTCTCTCTCTCTATTCGTTCCATGCTCGAGCATACACCCTTCGACTGGTTAGGAAAGGATGTACGATCTCTGTTCAACCAGCGCCCTCTTTCGTCCACTTGGCTCACTCCCTTTTTCGGCATCTTCGTTCGACTCGGCGCTCGCGCCGCCACGGATCGGTCCTGCGCGATGGGGATGCTGCGAGATAATCGTTTCCCCCGCACCAAGGGAAGCAGCAGGCAGCAGCACCGGCAGCAGCACCAGCACCACCAGCACCAGCAGTAAGAGCCAGGCCACCGCCATAGCCGCTCCCCGGCCAACCAAGGAGGAGAAACCGGCGTTACCATTCTCTTTTTCCTTTTTTCCTTTCTCTTTTTCTCTCTTTTGATCCGCGCCACCGGCGAATACGCTGATTCCTCTCCTCGGCGACATTTCCACCGATCCGCACGCAACCAGCTCTCTTCCTCCTCCTCCTCCTGCCCTCTCTCTCTCTTTCTCTTTCTCTTTCTCTTTCTCTTCTTTGAACTGCTCACTTTCCTCTTCTTCCTCCTTCCTCTTCGTTCCTCTTCGTTCCTCTTTTGCTCTCGGTGTCGCGAAAGGTGTCGCATCGTGATCCGTAGTCGTAGCGGAGATCATGTGACGCTTCACGTTTCTCGCGCGTGTGCCCCGAATCGTTGGCGGTGTTGGGTCGAGAATGTAGTGATGCTTGTCATCGCGGCACCGTCGTCGTTCCGCTTCGTGAACCCGAGGCGTCCAACCTTCCCGTTTCCGCGATGAGTGCACGCGCCGCTTCGTCGATTCGTCCACGTTCTTTGGCGAGGAAAAGGAGGAAGAACGACGCTACTGTCGCACGCCACTGACGAGAGACGCTTCGAGCCGACGCGAGGAGGAGGAGAACGTGGCCCTCCTCCCCTCCCCCCCTCTCCCTCTGATGCTGCTCATCATTCATCCACACTGCCTTCCAACGCGTGCACCATCCACTATCGTGACTCGTCTCCACCACGAGGATTCGAACTTTCTTTCCCTTTACTATTTAAGTAATTCCCGTTTTTCTTCCTCTCGAATCTTGTCGAAGAGAGGAGGAGGATGGTGGTGTTCATATTTCTCTCCACCTTTTTTCATCACTATGATTCTTACGAAAATTCTTACGAAAGAGAGATAGACGAAAAAGAAGGAGAAAAGGTGTCGAGAAGGCGCGCACGTGTTGCTCGCTGAATGTAAAAGCGGCCATTTACGCGTCGTGTTGTTTCGCGACTCCCGATTGGACGACGAAAAAGTTACGCGAGATTGTGCAACGTGCGAATCGATAACACTTGTAACGAAACGTCCACGCTGGATCCACGATGTGTCGTATTTTTTTTTTGTGGCCCGCCGATTCCGTCTGCCGACCTTAACCTTTCGAACGACTCGGATCTACTCGACGAGAGAGAGAGAGAGAGAGAGAGTCGAACAAAGTTTCACGTCACGGATATCATCATGTTCTATTTCTCATCGATTTTCAACGCGATTCTCAAGTGTCTTCTAAATTAAAGTTTAAGCCAATGAAATAGGGATATTCGAAGGGACAGCTTCCTATACTTTGTACGAACGGAGCTTCACGTAAAAACGGTGAACGAATCAGCACTACGAGACAAAACTTTTATCTTTCGTTGTATAGCAATTATATCTACGTGATAATCTTTGAAGAATCGTTCATTCGACAACTTTTTCTCCACGGTTGGAGAGAATTTTTGTTTTTCACGGAAAAAAAAGAAAGTGTCGAATCGGAAACTCAACTTGTTGCGAAGAGAAGATAGGTGAAGGAGGTGTGTTCCGCGAGTGTGAATGTGTTTCGTCGCTGGTGTCGCTGTGGGTTCCAACCGACGTACTATTTCGCGCCTAGTGTGTCGCTCAATGATCAATCGATCATTTCGTCTTGCAACCGCAACGTGCTTCAACGAGGATCGGTACGTATGATATCGTTTCACACACGTGCGTTTCGTTAAACTATTTTAAAGATATTTTTGTAAAATAACCCAAAAGAGAGTAATTTTAATTCTAACGATTTTTTTTCTATTATAATTAATTATTGGAGGGATTCTATTCGAAAGAATAAAGAGATCTTTAGAATCCTTCGTAGAATTCGTTTCGTTCTTAAATTGTTATAAGTAAGATCAAGAATTAAAATTAGGAATATAGTTTGGTGCATCTATTTTCACGTGCGCGCTTATATAACCGTGAGTGGGCGCACGATGGATACTGGTTGGGTACTTAGTAGCTCGTTATTACAGGCAACCAACCACCATCGAACCGGTTTAATCCAACGAGTATGTGTCGTATTAATTGTCCTTCTATTAAACGGTATTAACTCTTTCGAGATGGAAGTGATCGCGTTTCTTTTCATTATATCGCGTTTGTTTTTGTTTCGAGATTAATATTTATCGACGATTAATTATATAGATAGCGTAAAATCGATTCGAGATCGCTTTTTTGAGGGAATAAGGAAATAAGGAAATGGAGGAAATTTTGATATTCGACATATAATGGGTAATGAAATAAAAGTATTAATATTTTTAATTAATATTTTGTATTAATATATCACTTTTCGACAAGATTAATATTTATCGACGATCGATTGTATAGGTAATGTAAAATTGATTCGAAATCGAGATTCTTTTCGAAAGAAGTTTTTTGAGGAAATATAAGAAAATGGAACCAAGAATGGAAGAAACTTTGATATTCGATATATGTAATGGATAATGAATTAAAATTTTAAACTATTCTGTGTATTAATATATCGCGTTTGCTTTCGTTTCAAGGCAAGGTTAATATTTATCGACGATGGATTGTATAGCGTAAAATCGATTCGAGATCGAGATTCTTTTCGAAAGAAACTTTTTCAAGGAAATATGACAAAGTGGTGGAAATTTTGATATTTGATGTATAATGAATTGAAAGTATTAAATTACTTATTTGTGCATTAATATTTTTCTCAATTATGTACAATTTAACACATTTCTTTTTTTTTTCAAAATTTGATTTCTTGTATAAATATTAAATTGGTTGTATGGAGTATGCAATGTTTTCACATCGTTGCATCAACTGTTTGGTAATTAATTCTCCTTCCATGGATACGATATACAGAGGTAGGAGACATAACACATCGTTACAACGTTAGAGACAATGGAATATTTATTCAAGCACGTTGTTCTTGTTGAGAGAAACTGCGTGGAATTTTGTCAAACGAATATTATATAAACATAATACATAGGAATAAACGTGAACTCGTTATTAACACTGTACGAATACTGCGTTCGCTGTGAATATCGCGTTCGCTGTGAATATCGCGGATAATATATCGTCGTATCTCAAAGCTGTTTTATAAATATTTTATTGCCCTTGCTATATTGTATAATTTCGAACGTAGAAAGACAAAGTTAATAATAATCCTAAAAAGAATTGCCATTTGCCTGTAATTAACCTTCATTTCTCCTCTTTCGTTTTCAATTATTAAACATTATTAATCGTCGAAACGCTGATTGCAAAAATACGAATGCAGCATCATCGAACGTTATATCAGTAGATTTATTCAAAAAATATACGCAGATTCGCAGAATTTTTTCTTTGAAACTTGAAATCGATTCATATTAATGGTAAGATTAAATAAATTTGCAAATTTTTTTCATTTAAAACTTTTACAAAAACTCGTGTCAATAGAAAGATGTTACGCAGAATCGTACAATTTTTCGATTAAAATTCAAAATCGATTCATGGGAAGGTTAATGAATTTTAAATAAATTTGAAAATTTTTTCACTTTAAATTTATATAAAAAGAGTCGATTCGTATCAACGGCAAAGTTAAATAAATTTTTTCACTTATATAAAAATTCGATTCATATTTATGCAAAATCAGAGAATTTTTTGCTTAAAACTCATAAAAATTTAACTCGTGTCAATGGCAAGATGTTATCCAGAATCGTACAATTTTTCGTTTAAAACTCGAATTCGATTCATATTAATGACAAGATATTATCCAAAATCGTAGAAATTTTTATTTAAAACTCAAAATTCATATTAATGGCAAAGTTAATTAAATAAATTTGCAAATTTTTTTTTTCACTTAAAACTTATATAAAAATTCATATCAATGACAAGATGTTATGCAAAATCGAAGAATTTTTTGTTTAAAATTCGATTCGATATTAATGGCAAGATGTTACGAAGAATCGCAGAATATTTCGCTTAAAACTCATATAAAAATTCAACTCGCGTCAATGGCAATATATATTACGCAGAATCGCAGAAATTTCCCCTTTAAAACTCGAATTCATCGCGTCGATATCAAGATGTTACACAGGATATTGCAGAATTTTTCGCAATTTAAAACTCGAACTTGTACGAGAGTGGCAAGATGTTACGTTACCATAGATTTACAAAATTTTTCCCTTCGTTCAAAATTCGAGTGCAGTTCACCGCAAATTCAATACGAGGATATTACGCAGATTTGCAAAAATTTTTCCCCTAAAAATCCCGAATTCGGTATCAATGGCGCTGCCGAGATGTTACTCGCCATTCCTATCACGAAATCCCGCGAAGGAATCCGGATCGGGCCGGAACGAATGTGACCGTAAAGTGAAATCAAGTGGCTTATTAATCTCACATAGAAGCTCGGATCGAGGACGGTGCTCGAAGGAAATTCGATCGTCAAGTTTCCGCGCGGGAACTCTTTAAGCAGAGAGAGAGAGAGAGAGAGAGAGAGAGAGAGAGAGAGAGAGAGAGAGAGAGAGAGAGAGAGAGAGAGAGAGCATTTCATCCGTGAAGAATCGCAAGATTATAGTTTCTGGATCGCTTATCGAGCGGCCGATCGATAGTCGATCAATGGATACAGGCGATAAAAATTCAGGCAAATTTATAAGGAACGAGATATCCGGCCGAAAGAGATATTTCCCGGATTGAACGAAGCCAGGTCAGTCGTAAAAACTGCGATTAAGTTTTAAGCCTGACGTATCGGGGAAATGGGAAGAATCGATGATTGATTTTTTAATAAGAAGATGATAAATAATAACTTTCAGGTTGTAGTCAATATCAAAATCCCTTCCTCCTCTAACGTATTCATTCGAAGAAAAATTGTACGATGGAATAAAATAACGTTGGTAGGAGAATATAAGTTACGTACGTGTCCTGGAGGATTCAATTATGAACTTTTAACAGATACGGCTTTAAACTGTGTTTCCAACTTTGAAAGCGTATCAATTTTTCTATTAAACTTGGTTTCCTCCCAGTTTTCCAACACTGGGGAGGGTGATTTTGAAAAAAAATCGTGTTTCATCCGGCGAATATACATAATTGGACCGGTGGATAATGAATAAAATTATTCATTCATACGCGAAGGTGGAATGAATAAAAGGAGATGGATAACAGTGTTCCATAACGAGAGATCGAGCTGTTTTAAAGTTATAATTCAATGCATATGTAAGAGATGAGAGGGGATATGGAGAAATTTGAGACACACGTTTTATACTGTTCGAAAGTTGAAAGTCCTACTACATGCTTTTGAAACGTATAGTCGATTGAAGGAGTATACTATTAAGGTACTACTCGTGACATTCTTCTATGCCGTAGGCGCTTGTAACTTTCAAAGCCGAATCAAGCTAAATAATACGTAACGTGATAGCTTCCAATCTTTTTCCTCGTGTACTCGTTTGATTCGTGCGTTATTACCCTCGATTCATTCTATACAAACGAGCGTCTCGCGTTTGATATTTATATATGAAAAAAAAAGAAATTTTCACAACTTTTTCGCACCAGTTTTGTGAAACATAGATTTTGCAACGGAAAGGAAGGAAAGAAAGAAAGAAGACGAATGTTTTTATTTTTATCTCCAACTTTTAATTCTCCACCCTCTCTTTCCTCTTCATTTTTTTTCTTTTCACGGCTATTTCTGTTTCTCACTGTGTTGTGGAAATTTATGCATTATACGAGAATAAATCGAGCAGTCGCATCGATTTTCGACGAAATAATAAATCAGTTTTTTTCCAGGTTGTCGCAGATGGCGCTCTCGAAACTCGATCGAGATTTACGAGACGAGGTCGACTTTTCGCGTAACTTCGTTGATTTTCGTGATCGCGTCACGCGTTCGTTTTGCCAAAAACACGATTCCTCGCCGTTTCGAATTTCACACCGGAAACTATTGTATCGACAAAGGAATAGGTACTCGATTAAAAATACAAATACAAAAAGATTAATAAGATTAAATTAGGTTAAGTTTAGTTTAAGTTAGTACGCCGACAATAATAATAATAGTATTGTAGTGGATCGTTAAATGTATGGATACATGTCAAATGCTCTTTTTGAGCTGTATATGTGAAGAAACTAGTCTTGTGATTATTGATGTATTTTCTTCATGAAGAGTAGATTGTTTTTAGTGCGATTACAAGTGCGATACGTGTGTCTATAAAAGAGCTGAATCTCTCACGATGTCACAGTAGATGATCGTGTCCGACGATCAGATCACGATATGTAATTACAAAGAAACTATCGTATACGCTGGTCAGACTACGACATACGTGTTCACAATGAGCGATAATTAGATTCTCTTTCAAGCCACAATAAGTAATCGTATCCGACGGTCAGAACACGATGTGGTTCAGAACTATTTATTTGTCTTATCCGACGGTCAAAGTACGATTTGTTTACCATGAGACTCTGTTTCAAGTGAAGTTCGTGCCCTCAGAAAATCCCTTTCTAGTTTAATTGAATCGAGGAAGCATTCTCAAATTCTCTTCAGGTGGAACACGATAATACTGAAGTGTATCAAAAATATATGATTGTAAGTGTCGACAAAACTCTAAAAAATTATAGTTCTTCTCCAGATAACATCGTCCTTTGTTTAATAGAGATTTGCGAGTGATAACAGAAAAGGGTTTCTGAGGAATTTTTCCGAATGAGCTTTTCAAAATAAATCTTA